TCCCCGTCCACAGCAAAGCTGGGGAGGTCTCCGGCATGGAGACCCTGGGCTGAAGGTTGATCTGATGCGCCGCGTACCGAACCGCAAACGGCCACAGAAAATGGGGGGCAGCCGCATGCATCATGGACGTACGGGCGACGTCCATGACCATGCCAATGCGGCGCTCAGCAATCCCATTTTGCTGTGGAGAGTCCGGAAGCGTGAAGGTCTGGCGGATGCCTCGTGCACGACAGTAGGCTCGCAGAAGGCCAGAGGAGAACTCTCCGCCTCTGTCAGAGTGCAGACGCAAAACAGGAAAGTCCGAGCCGAAGCTCTGCCTGAGCTGGAGACGAGCTGCGCGGATCCAGTCGATCAACACCTCAGTGACATCACCCTTGCTGCGCAAGGGGAAGACTGTGGTGTAACGCGAGTAGTCGTCAACCACCAGCAGGAAGTAGCGCTCGTGACCCTGTCCACGGACGCGGGCCGGGCCCCACACGTCCATGTGAAGCGTCTGCAGCGGGGCCTCTGTCGGAGGAAACTGGGAGGAGTGAGGGGCAGCACGCTGCCGCCCCTCGACACAGGGGACGCAGGTAGGGGCAGGCCCCGGAGGAAGGGGAGGGAGGGACCGGGGAAGACCAGAGACAAGGACACGGGAGGCCATGCCTCGGAGACGAGGCAGGGAGGGGTGACCAAGGCGGTGGTGCCAGAGGAGAGTCTCGTGAGACAGGAGGCGACACGAGCAGGGGGCAGACTCAGGACCAGACCTGGACGCTGCAGCAAACACCTGACCCGACGCAGCTGCCTGACCAGACGCAGTGACTGGAGGAGACTCAGTTGTCAGTGTGTACAGGCTCGACCCCGGCCGACGTGTAAACGTGGCCAAGTGTCACACGCTGGCTCGCATGAGTGAACTGGTGAACCCCCGCATCCTGTAGTTCAGCACCACTCACCAAGTTCGTAGAGAACGAGGGGAGGTAAAGACCAGACAGGGTGCCAGAGGGGGCCGCCGGACACGGGAGGACAGTGGAGAAGTGAGCAAGGACAGGACCCCCAGAGGGGTCTGCCAGAGAGACTGCAACTGGCCGACCAAGCGGCGTGAGTGTGGTGCGGTCTCGAAAGAAGGAGCGAGAAGCCCCCGAGTCAAGAGTGAAGGTGTGGGAGGCCGGAGCCGACGCTGTACCTGAGAGAGCAGACTCACCAGCACCTGAGGAAGCAGACGCACTGGCACCTAGAGCAGCAGCCTCGCTAGCACCTAGAGCAGCAGCCTCACCAGTACCTAGAGCAGCAGTCCCAATGCCCGGGCCGGGCGGAAAACACCGGTAACAGTCACCCTCATCACTAATAGTCACAGCATACATGGCAGCAAGAATAGCATCAAAGTCAAGGTCAAAGATAGCTACTCCCGCCCTAGACAGCTCGCCCCAGCGAGGGATCTCAGTGGCCTCAGGGAACTGGTGACGCCAAGCGTCCGTCAGGCGGCCAAAGCAGCGCTGGGTGGAGTGCGCACCCCCGCACGGCTCACCCGCGCGGTCGCCGGTGCGTAGGATGTAGGTGCACGGACCAGTACCCCAACCCCGCTGGCGTGCAGCGTACCACTCACGGAGCTGCTGAGGGGGGGGGATGTCCCGAGTGCGCTGCTGCTGCTGCTGCTGCTGCTGCTGCTGGCGCTGACCACCACCGGAGCCAACCCTCTGCGCAGTGCCACCCCGACCAGCTCCACCTCCCCCGCCGCCGCCTCCTCCACCGCCGCCGCCTCCTCCACCGCCGCCACCTCCGCCACCTCCGCTCCCACCGCCACCGCCGCCTCCGCCTCCGCCTCCACTGCCGCCACCGACACCTCCACCCCCGCCACCACCCCCACCGCCACCCCCACCCCCTCCGCCGCCTCCACCGCTGCCTCCACCGCCCCCGCTAGCTCCTCCAGCGCCCCTGCCCCCCTTGCCCTTGCCAGGGCGGCGCTTCCCGCTAGGGGTAGACGCCGCACCGACCGACTCAAGACCAACGAGGTCGGTCGCAGCAGCAGAGGCAACAGAGGGCAAGAGAGGAGAGGGGGAGCACCCCTCAAAGACAGGGGCGCGCGGGTCACCACGAGAGGCTCCTACAGCGACTATGCTCTTCTCTGCTGCTAGGAGGCGCTCCTCGAGGAGGTCAACGGTGAGGGTGGTGGGGCAAACAGAGAGAAAGTGGTCCCTGACCGGGCGAAGGGTGTCAGGGAGGCGGGTGACTATGTAGTAGAGGGTGATGTACATAGGGGGGGGGTTCTTGGCGCAGAACTTAGCGGGAAGGGCAGCGCGGTAGCGAATGTCACTAGTGCGGAGGTGCGTAATGAGGTCAGCAACTGTGGGAAAAGCTGCGAGGTCAGGGAAGAGGTACGGCAGGATGAGGCGGCTAATTGCAGCAGTGGCAGGGGAAGAGTAGCGTGCAACTACAGCGTCGTACAAGGTCTTAGCACTCTTGTACTGGCTAAAGTGCGCACGCTCAGAGGTAGGCAAGTGGCGACGCACAGCAAGACGTGCAGCAGCATCGCGTGTGGCCCACTATGAGCGAACAGTGGCGTCAGCATCAGCAGCGGGGGCAAGAGAGGCACCAGAAGTGAGGTCAAAGAGGGAGAGACCGTCTGCCCTATCGCACTGTAGGAAAAGCTGCAGGTCATCTACCCAGACGTCAAAGTCAATGGCCCGACCCTCAGCGTCAAAAGCGAGGACACTGGGGGTAGCCATGACAGCAGTAGACTGGCAGCACGAGCAGTAGGGTAAGAGCAGCGCAGTAGTAGAGGTGCTGTTCTTACCGGGCAGGCGAGACGGACCGAGGGTAGAGGACAGGGCGGCTCGGACGGCTCGGCAGCTCGTCGGCTCGGCAGCACCAGCAGCTCGGCAGCTCAGCGACTCGGCGGCTCGGGTGGCTCGGCGGCTCGGGCGGTTCGGCGGCTCGGCGGCTCGGGCGGCTCGGCGGCTCGGGCGGCTCGGCGGCTCGGGCGGTTCGGCGGCTCGGGCGGATCGGCTGCTGCAGGGGCAGCGGCGGCTGCTGCTCACAGGACGGCGGCGGCCGCTGCTGCAGCGGCGGCGGCAGTTGCTGCTGCAGGGGCGGCGGCGGCCGCTCCTGCAGGGACGGCGGTGGCCGCGGTTGCAGTGGCGGCGGGTGCTGCTGCTGGGGCGGCGGATGCTGCTGCTGCTGGGACGGCGACCGCGGCCGCTGTAGCGACTGCAGCTGCTGCTGCTGTAGAGGCGGCGACGCCGGGCCGTGAAGGGGCCGCGGGTGGCCGCGGAGGGCGGCGACGGGCCGTGAAGGGCGGCTCGAGGGGCCGCGAAGGGCGGCGACGGGCCGTAGGGGGCCGTAAGGGCGGCACGAGGGGCCGGAAGGGCGGCGCGAGGGGCCGTGAAGGGGGGGGCCGCGAGTGGCCGCGGAGGGCGGCGACGGGCCGTGAAGGGCGGCGTGAGGGGCCGCGGAGGGCGGCGACCGGCCGTGAAGGGGCCGCGGGTGGCTGCGGAGGGCGGTGACGGGCCGTGAAGGGCGGCTCGAGGGGCCGCGAAGGGCGGCGACGGGCCGTAGGGGGCCGTAAGGGCGGCGCGAGGGGCCGGAAGGGCGGCGCGAGGGGCCGTAAGGGCAGCACGAGAGGCCGTAAGGGCGGCTGGAAGGGCCGTCAGAGGAGCCGCTAAGGGCGACGCGAAGGGGCCGTAAGGGGCCTAGAGAGGGCGCGACGGTAGGGAGGGCACGCGGGGCGCGACTCGGGCAGGAGCGAAGCGCGCTCCGGGCAGGAATTTTTTTTTTCGATTGGTGGGCCCTATACCATGTGAAATGTCGAGGAATGAGATTGACTAAGGGAAAGTTGGGTACAAGTGCAAACCCTAGAAAACTGTACCCCATATGTGCTACCCCACTACAGCCTACAGCAGCTATGTGATATAAATCTGACAATAGCCTACACAACATGCAACATATAAGTTTGACAGTTTCCGACGAGAGTTGAAGATGAAGTTGCCATTGCGTGGAGCGCAGCGCTAAAGTCTCCGATACGTAGCGGAGCGAGCGGCTATCTTTGAAATTGAGGAAGGCCGAAACGCGGAAAGACGCGATTTCGGCAATAAGTGGCCGGATCATGTTCTACTCCTCAGCTTCGCTGATGTCCCCTGTTCTGCTTTGCCGCTGCCCCTTTTCCGCTTCTCTGCTGCGCCGCTGACCTGTTCTACTACACCGCTGACCTGTTCTGCTGCGCTGCTGACCTGTTCTGCTGTGCCGCTGACCTGTTCTGCTGCGCTGCTGAACCTGTTCCGCTGCGCCGCTGACCTGTTCTGCTGCGCCGCCGAACCTGTTCCGCTGCGCCGCTGACTGTTCTGTTGCGCCGCTGACCTGTTCTGCTGCACCGCTGAACCTATTCTGCTGCGCCGCTGAACCTGTTCTGCTGCACCGCTGAAACCTGTTCTGCTGCGCCGATGAAACCTGTTCTGCTGCGCCGATGAATCCTGTTCTGCTGCGCCGCTGAAAACTTGTTCGAAGTTAAGAGATTGAGAAATTCGCCACGGAAATTTGAAATTCCAGAAGCTTACTTATGAAGGAAGTTGAGAGGGAATGTGTCGCCGTTGAAATCGAAAGTGCGTAAAGACAGAATGCGAATGCGCTCTTGACCGGCGCGAAGATGTGAAGTCTGGAAATGCTAAGCGAAGAGCCGGAAACCGAAAGAGTCATAGCCGAGAAGAAGAGAACCATTCCGCGTGAGCAGAATTTACTAGCTCGATACCATGATAGAAATGGAGCTTGAACTGATTGATTAGAATAGAAGGCACTAGGCCTTAAGTACAAAGAGAGCTGGGTTGGTTAAGGCTAGGGGAAGGATGGGTTGGGAATCAAAGCAAATCTCCAATGGTGAGTTGGCAGATTTGTTGGATTACGGGGGGATCCCAACCAGATAAGGTTGGGATAACAAATCTACACCCAACCTACAATAAACTTACACGATATAAAATAGAGTACACAAATGGGTTGACAGCTTAATTCTAACAAAGGTGAGCCCGTGGTTCAAGATGAAGAACGTGCCGCGATGTGACATTCCGGAAGGTAAGCAAATCGAACTCGGGTTTTCCAGAGTGTTGTAACGACCCTTCTTGGCTGACGCTCGCCTCTCCCTCGGTGCCTGGCAGGAGTTGTGGTCCAAGCAAAAGATAACGGGTGGATGGACGAGAGTGCTGTGCAGACCTGGCTGACCAAGGAGGTGCTGCCCCATCTCAACCCCCAGCGCGGCCAGAACGCGAGGCGTGCGATGCTGGTGTTGGACTCCTACCAATGCCACATTACCCATGGCATGCTTCAAGCCTATCGCACGCACAGCATCACCCCTGCCGTAATCCCTGCAGGTTGCACCAGCCAAATTCAACCCCTGGACGTCTCTATCAACTGGTGCTTCAAGGCCGCGGTGAGAGCACGCTACGCCAGGTGGTTCATGCGTGAAGGAGTTTACCTGAAGACGAAATACGGTGAGTAGACGTTGGATGATCATAAACTTCACCCCTGTTACCCCTTGATGTATCTAACGGCACGCTGCCCCTGCCTCTGACCCACCCGCAGGGAACCCGAGAAAGCCTCCGCACCCCGTGGAGCTGCAGTGGATTGCGGAGGCGTGGGATCAAGTCCCCACGAATGTCATCATTGACGCGTTCCGCCACTGTGGGATTTCAAGCAAGCTGGACGAGACCGAGAACCACCTGGCGTTGTCTCACCTGCGCGCGAGGAGCACCACCGATGTCTCCGAAGACATGTGCCTCGGGGGGACCACGGGCGAAAACACGGGCCTGCTTGGGCAGGCTCTGGAGGAGGAGGAGGAGGACGAGGAGGAGGAGGAGGAGGAGGAGGAGGAGGAGGAGGAGATGCGGGTTGAGGGCATCAGGGAGGTCGGCGTGGCAACAGGGCTGGAGGTGCTGTACTAGGAGATTACCAACTACCGCTGAGCGGCGCCCGAGGCTGACCGCATGATCGAGCCCAGGCAGACGGCCAGGCACGCCTGGCGAGTGTCAGACTTGGGGGTGCGGGAGCCTGCATCTGCTAGTGCAGATGAGGAGGGCGTTACCGAGGGGGGCTAGGTAGAAGTAGCAAAACCCTGAATGTATGCATGCACCCCCCTTAATGCAAGAAGAACCGTTTAGAAGACACCCCCCTTTTGTTAAGATAACCCCTGAACCCTAGTACTGTTTACAAGACACTGTCTTAACTCGTACACGCATGTAGGTGTCTTATAATCAGGAGCACCCATCTATAAGATACACCCGTTTGAAAGACACCCCCTGTCTTCAATTCGACACTGTCTTATATCCGGGCGATGATGGTAACTAACCACTGCTGCACCACTGATTTAGGGTGCATTAAAACATACAATCCGTTGAAGCTAAGATCACGTAAATTGCTTTGGATGGAAACATCAGCTGCAGCAAGCGCAGAGTAAGCTGTGCAGACACGGAGCAACATAGTACGAGACACGCAAGGATGGGCTTAATCAGGTACTCATGACGCCAAGCGGCAGACAAACATGCAGACTCATGTGTGTTGGTTAGCAAGGAAAAGGGGTGAGATGATGTGAGTGGTGCATGAAGCGAATGCAGAGATGGCTGGTGGGGAGCTGCTCATGCTGTACGCATCTGGACGTTGGGGTGAGTGCGGCTAGCAATATGGCGCCATCATGGTGTTGTTCTCCTCCGTCTCCGTGAAGAACTTCACATCTCGCTCCTAGTGGTGCCGTGCCATGGGGCATCATGGGCCATGCCATGCACACATAGGGTGACAGGGGATCGCCAGCAATGGGAGGGGCGGACCAAGGTGGAGGGGGAAATGTGAGAGGGAGCGGGAAAGGGGGAGGTGGTAAAAGGCATTAGGGACATGAAAAGAGAGGCAAGGCTCCAAGGATGCATGGGCATGAGGTGGAGAGATCTAAGAGCTCTCCCACGGGTAGTGGAAACAGTGCTTTGGTGATGCATGTAGAGCACTTAGCGGCAGGGCAGGAGGGCGCAGAGCCACGATGACACGACCCCCTCACCATGAGCCCCCCTCACCACGCGCCACACACTGACGCATGCATTGAACTGACGCATGCACTGATGCATGTACTGACGCATGCAGGGATGCACGCACTGGCCATGTGCTCATCGAAGCTGAGGATGGAGGCCACGTTGCCACAGCGATAGCAGTAGTTGGGCGCTGACCACACCTGATGGCCCATGCATGCATGCATGGATGCACGCGCATGGTGCACATCCCAATGCAACACATGAGACACACACAGGCAGACACACGGAAACACACCCGAGTGAGTGATGTTAGCCAAGCCGAGAGTACGATAACCAGAACACAAGGCAAAAATGGTATGGCAGCAGGGGCTTTCCTTGAGAGGTGGCATCACGGAATCACACAAGTAGGGAAAAGGGCAAGGTGAGAGGAGCAGGCAATACAATGACGAGGCTTCTGTTGGGAAACATGTACTTGAGCCCCTCCTGCACCAGCTGGTGCGCTCGACACACCAGCTCCAAGCCGTTGATCTGATTGAACTGCACACGAGTGGCACAGACAGGGACGGTAGTACATGCAGAATCGGTAAGGAGGCAGAGAGGGCAGAATGGCGAGAGGGGAAAAAAATGAGGGCAGCAACAACAGAGGGCGGGAAATGAGAGAACACGTGTTGAGATACTGGGGTGCAGCCAGAGACATTGGAAAGGTCAGACAAGGAGGGGAAAAGAAGACATTGAGGCAAGAACTGGGCCTTAGTGGGATGGACGCACACAGGAACGGCCGCACCATGCCATGCCCGCGTGTTCCATGCAGTGGTGCACGGTGGAGCAGATGAAGAGGGAAAGAGACTATGCAAGGGAAAGCAAGAGATACGAGGGAAGAGGAGATGTGGGAGAGAGGAGATGTGGGGGAAGAGGAGATGTGAGGGAAGAGGAGATGTGGGGGAAGAGGAGATGTGGGGGAAGAGGAGATGTGAGGGAAGAGGAGATGTGGGGGAAGAGGAGATGTGAGGGAAGAGGAGATGTGGGGGAAGAGGAGATGTGGGGGAAGAGGAGATGTGAGGGAAGAGGAGATGTGGAGGAAGAGGAGATGTGAGGGAATAGGAGATGTAAGATGCTTCTGCCTAACAGTAGTAAGATGCTACTGCCTAATACAGTAGTAACATGCTACTGCCTAACAGTAGTAAGATGCTACTGCCTAATACAGTAGTAAGATGCTATTGCCTAACAGTAATAAGATGCTACTGCCTAATACAGTAGTAAGATGCTATTGCCTAACAGTAGTAAGATGCTACTGCATAATACTGTAGTACGATGATACTGCCTAACAGTAGTAATATGCTACTGCCTAATACAGTAGTAAGATGCTACTGCCTTACAGTAGTAAGATGCTACTGCCTAATACAGTAGTAAGATGCTACTGCCTAACAGTAGTAAGATGCTATTGCCTAACAGTAGTAAGATGCTACTGGCAGGTAGAGTGCGTAGTTACCGCAGAAGGGACCCTCATGTGGAATTTCGCATCGCGCTCCATCACTTGGATCTGAGCAAAACAGGTGCACAGACGTACAAATAGGTACACACAGGTAAACACCTGAGCTGCTACTAGAACAGATATAAATCAAAGGCACTTCTAATTACAATTGGTCGGATTTGACATTACACCCCCCATATGCTCTCATTGACTTAACGATTCGTGGTCGATGCATCGGCAACTCGACTCGATGAATCGACTGTTGATGGAAAGGTGCAGACAAGTGCATGTGAGACGCAGCAACAAAGAGAGGAGAAGAAACGAGATGGATGACTCGGAAAATTCGACTGTAGAGGTGGAATGAGGCCCGCAGCAGAAGGGCGAGGGGGAGGGGGAGAAGCAGAGCAGCGCAGCACCTGATCCAGGGTTCGGATGTCAGGTGAGAGGCCCCCGTGCACATGCAGTACCCCCTTTTTTGTTTTTGTTTTTGTTTTTTTTTTTTTTGGCTGGAACTATATTATCAAACATATGTACATCCGCAGTCGTAACTGTATTCTTGGAGGGCCTAGGCTACGCTAAGTGAAGCGCCGCACATCCCCCCTATGGTATATCACGGAGGCTGATGGAAAGTGCGTGGGTTGCGCCAGATGGAAAGAAAGGGGGCCGTCCAAGTCGTTGGCCCATCCTCACTGCAGATCCCCTGTAGTTGCTTCCTCTCATCGGCTGCCACATGGCACCAATTATCCGTTTTCCAAAAGCTGTCCCCCTCTCCTGCTGCTGGCACCTTTCCTCGTGATGCCAACACCACCCTCGCATGCGTCATGAAGTCCAACACCGCACCTCGCCCCACCTTCTTTCGTTCGAAGGGGGCCGCACGCCATGCCGCATCACACCTTGCCAACCAAACCTGCCAAAGTACCGCCACTGTCAACGTCATTTCGGGAAAGCCTGACGCCGTGCCCCCTTTCTCAAACAGTAGATCCCCCAACGAGTCCATGGACCTATCCGGATTCAGCATATGCAATGATCGTTTAAGCGCGCCGATGACCGGTTGTATGACCGGGCAGCTGTAGAGGCAGTGCGCTAGGGTTTCCTCTCCTCCACAGTGCGCACAGTCGATCCTGTTCTGGAAGAAATCCAGCCTCTCCCCCACCTGAAGGTTCATGCTGTGGACTCTGAGAAGCACGTCCCTCGCCTTGAGAGGCACGCAAATCGAGTCACGAGTTTCGATGGCCCTTTTCCAATTAATCTTCTTGCCCCACACTTCCTCCCACTCTGCTTGCCTCAGGAGCGTCCCTTCGACTTAGAAAGCGCAGCCCGTATCTGACGCAGCGGCACCAATCCCCCCCCAGCAAAAAGCCCGGGTCTAGACAGTAGCCTCGCCTTTGGGTCGCCCACCGGCCCTACCAGTCTTCCCTCCTGGACCGCCATCGGCAGGCTTCTGTACGCCTCGAAACACGACTCTCTTGAACCCGTCGGAGCTCCCAGCCTTCCCTCCTCGCTGAGGGTCATAGTGGAAGCATTGATCCTCGTACCGTCCAATCCCTCCACCGCCCACGGGAGTCTGGCTGGCTGCCCCCGAAGGATGTATCGCACCACTCCTGACGCCGCCGCCACCTCTTCTGCCGACACCGGCTCTTCTACCAGCTTCTTCCACTCTGGTGGCATGGCCCCATAGGCTTTCTTTGCCATAATCGCCGCCTCCTTGCTCCCAAACTCTATCGTCAGCTCATCTTCTTCCTTCACCCCCCTCCGTCCCCCTGGGCCGTTGGTGAGCAGGTCCTGTATGTGTGTGGTGATAAGGGTCGCCGTGCCTATCTGGTGACTGAAAGGACTCCCTCCCCCTATGCATGATGTTTCTGTTGAAACAAATGAACTCTTCCTCCACTTCCCATCTGCTCGCAGGTGCCGGCAGCGTTGCAAAATGTGACTTCCAGAAGATTTTCACCACTGCCTTCGATCTTTCACTCCCATGCTGCCACTGCTTCGCCGCTGACTGGTGCGCGTACAACGTGGCCCAGCCTTGCAGGAAACCGGCCGCATTTTCCGCCAGCCACTGGCGCGTTCCATCCGGCTCACGCAGGAGCTTGCCAATTCTGCGGACCGCCAGCCCGTCGAGGCAGAGCTTCGGATCGAGCTGGCCCAGGCCCCCGTCCTTCCGTAGGAGGCACGCCAGGTATGCGCTCCAAAGGATAAAAATATTTTCCTATGCTGCTTCCCCAGCCGAGACGAAGGCGTGACAGAGCTTCCTGATTTTTTCCCACACCTCATCCAGCGGCGAATAGACCTGCGCCTGAAACATCAGTACCGACCAAACATAGCAGCTGATAACCGCTACTCTTTCCATCGTCGTGAGGTACTGCGTTTCCCACTTCCTTAACTCCTCTCCTATCCTTTCATAAGCTATCCCCCAGGATGGGCCGGCGTCCCCGTTAGGCGTGATCCACACCCCCAGGAG